GTGTCAGCTTTATGCTTTGTATTGCTGAACAACAATTTCTGCGGTATTCTGCTGGTGTCGGTACCTTACTGCAAATAATTGGGCATGATGTATTTGTTGCATTTATATTGGCAATGCATCATGAAGCCCTTTGTTGTGGAAAGTATTGGTTGAGGAGGAAGGAGGAGGAGGGGAATACAGTGTTTTTACTTTCTGAAATTTTTCGACCACTCAGCTGAAGAATGTCTTTTGTTGCATCTGAGAGAGAGGCAGAGGGATCCAAACAAAACAAAAAAAAAAAAAGATGGAGAAAACGAAAGCAAAAGGAAAATCAGAGAGATGGCATTGGCCATGCTTAAACTATTTGGCAAAGTTTTGAGGAAATGTAGCATGATTTTGAGGATTATTTTCTTTTGCCTCAAATTCCTGAATTGAGTGGATAATATTGTCCTTTTCTTTTGTGGTTTATGATTTGCATAAATGAAATGTAACTGAAGATTGAAACGGTGCCTCTTGATCTACAGAATGTACACCAAGGGTATCCAAATGAGACATTAATGCGTTTTCTTAAAGCTCGGGACATGAATGTTGGAAAAGCCCACAAAATGGTTAGATTCATTCAGTTTACTAAATATAGTTATACTGTTTCAGATTTTATGATCTCAAACTGTTCATCTTTTGCTTATAATGCTCTCCTAATAACGCCTAAACTGTTCCAGTTGCTTGATTGTTTACAATGGAGGATGGACAGCGAAATCGACAATATATTGGCGGTGAGTTTTCTCAATGAGAAATTAATAAATAAACATGATATCTTGTTACCGATCACATGTAATTCTCGATGCTTGTCTGTTTAATATGTTGTGTTAGGCAAAGCAAAAATGTTTTGTGAAAGGATGCATATAGAATTTTTTTATTCAAATATCTAAAACTAAGTGCCAATAAAGCCTTGATTAATTTATTACTTCCTAAAAAGTTCGGAATTTAAACTTGGAAGGTTTTAATGGAAACAACTGAAAAGAGTGATTGCTGAAAACTGTTAGTGTTCCTTTTATAATAGTGGAGATGTCCACAGCTGACTGCCTTGAAGTACAAGGGAAGAAAATAGTACCATTATCATGGTGTTAGATTATTCTAAATTCTGTTCCAAATTCCAATATCATATATCTATTTTTTTTTCTTTCTATAAACCTCGAAGCATATATTTACTGTAATCTTGGATCTCAACATTTCGTATAGGCAAGGTAATAGCTTTTGTGGCAAATCTGATTCATATGCTAATTATTGACATACGAGTGGAAACATGAAAGCGAGGTGTAATAACATTGAAGTATCTTTGAAAATTTTTCTGCTGTCCTGTCATTAACTCCAAAGAGCTCATATTCCTGACCAATCATTATTTCTCAGCAGATTAGCACTTCTAGATTAAGGCGTTCATTACAAAGAATTTTATCATTTGCTAGTAGGGAAAGTGCATCCCAGTTAGATACAAAATTAATGGAGATTTGAAATAAATGTTGAAGTTGTTTTAGTTTCATTCTCCCTCTTGATATTCATGTGTTTCTGGTTTAATAAGTGGAGATGTTTGATACGTGAACCATGTTGGAAAAGTGGATATAATGAGGTGACAAAGCATTTATTTTCTGTATGCAGAAACCAATCATCCCAACTGATTTGTACAGAGCAGTGCGAGATTCTCAGCTTGTGGGGTTGTCAGGTTACTCAAAAGAGGTAGGCTTGAATCTTTCTTATTTTGACTGCAAAACATGATTAACTTTTGCTTCCTCATGCTCCTTTATTTTTAATTTCAAACTTACTATTAAATCTCATTGCCGTATTGATTTCTTTTTCCAGGGTCTTCCTGTCATTGCTGTTGGTGTCGGGCAAAGCACATTTGACAAAGCTTCTGTAAGGATGATATTATTTGTTCTGTTTAATCTTCTTCGGCAAAGATAACTTTATATTTCTGGTTTTGATATGTAATGATGGAAACCATGACCAAGAAATCATATAAGTTATGTTCGGCTTTAAGCTGTGGGCCATATCTGTGCTTACTTAAACATTAGAAATGCATAATACATCTGAGTCGTCTGACGTGAGAGAGAGCACTAGAATATATGGGCATAATGCTCTATATTTAGCTGGTACTGAGGCTTCCAATGCTAAGAAAATGAGTCATTTAAGTATACCATGGAGTTTTGAGATGATATAACATTGGTTGTGCATTTAACATGCATATACGGAGATTCATATACTTTCTAAAATACTGAGCTTTATGTACCGATGTGTATTTTCTTAAAACATAGAGTTAGGTGCATGTCTGTACGACCTTATGTTATATTATTATTCTCGCGGTAATATTTACTGCTTTGATTCATTGTCATTGTAGGTAAATTACTATGTCCAGTCTCACATCCAAATGAACGAGTATAGAGATCGTGTTGTGTTGGTGAGTGCTTGAGAATGTTTAATTTCATCTTTCTAACAGGTAACTCTATTAGGAGCCTGATTTTTCCCACCTTCTGTTGTAGCCTTCTGCAACGAAGAAGTATGGACAATATATTGGGACGTGTGTGAAGGTTTTGGATATGACTGGTTTAAGGCTCTCAGCACTTAACCAGATAAAGGTATCTCTTGCTATTAGCACGAGCCTCTGTTTGTTTGCCTTTTGTTTTTCATTTTACATATTTTTAAGAGTATCCGTATTTGCACATAATTGGCTCGACTTGTTTTATTCTTTTTCTGAGGATCCATGAGATTGATACTTAGTATGATCTGTTGATGCAGCTATTGACTGTTATCTCTACAATAGACGACTTAAACTATCCAGAGAAGACGGATACATACTATATTGTCAATGTGCCATACATATTTTCGGCATGTTGGAAGGTTTGTGTCATAACAACTCGCACTATGAAATTACGTGTCAGAAAACAGGGGAAAAGTATTTGGTGGGTATTCGATCTTGAGACAGAAAGTCCTAATGTGAACTCTTGACAGGTGGTAAAGCCTCTTTTGCAAGAAAGAACAAGGAAGAAAATCCAGGTTCTTCAGGGTTGTGGCAGAGACGAATTACTGAAAGTAAGCATGTTCTTATAACTTATTTTAGTCTTGTTTCCTATGTAATTTTTGCCAAGTTTCGAACTCCCTTCAAGTATAGGTCAAAAATCTCGTTCTTTTCCGGCTGCATTTGTTCATCTGTGTTTTTGCTCATCTGTGTTATGCAGATCATGGATTATGCATCCCTCCCACATTTTTGTAGAAAAGAGGGATCCGGGTCATCTCGGCATTCTGACAACGGACGCACTAACAATTGTTTCTCCTTGGACCATCCATTCCATCAAGAGCTCTACAATTTCGTCAAGCAACAAGCCGTCTTGAGGGAGTCCATTGCACCAATCAAGCAGGGATCCTTCCATGTTAATTTCCCGGAAGCTGCCCCAGAAGGCGCCGAGATTGCAAGGAAAATAGAATCTGAATTCCACAAGTTCGGAAATCAAAATCAAAATGGTCTCACCAAGTCACTAAGTGGCCTAAGAGTTCATGGTGCCTGAAATTTTTATAGCAATTTCTTAGCATCTGATCCTTCTACATGCCAATGTACCCGACACTCTTCCATTGCCATGATGCAGGAATGAATGTTGTTCTAAAATTAATTTCTATGTATTAGTGTAATCCTTGCATCAGCTCGATGCAGGTTTTTTAATACAAGTTAATAGATTGTATGACGGTTTTTGTAGAACTTTGCAAAACCGATTAAAACCCGAGTTTTAGTAGTAGATCCTATGACGGGTTACGAAAATGTGTTACGGTATTTTGTTATTTCTATTACACAAGGTGATTTTTCACCTACCTGTCGGGAGCGGGGCATATCCTACTAAGTTGAGAGCTTATGACGTGCTTAATTTGACCTCAAAATGAGGTGATAATGAAATACTCACCTACTTGACTCATTCATCATATAACCAAGTACTTTAACGTATTGTCTAGTTACAAGTTCACGCTACAAAACTCAGTGTTATAGTAATGACTAAACTGCGGCAAAAATAGGTTTTATGAATATGCGATTGTTGAATTTGCGCAAGATCTTAACGAGCAAATATTTTGCATTAACTAGGAGCAAATGTTTAATACAAGCTAATATATTGTATGACGGTTTTTGTAAAACTTTGCAAAACCGATTAAAACCCGAGTTTTAGTAATAGATCCTATGACGGGTTACGAAAATGTGTTATAGTATTTTGTTTTTTCTATTACACAAGATGATTTGTTACCCGCCAGTTGGAAGTGGGGCATACCTTACTAAGTTGAGAGCTTAGGGCGTGCTTAATTTGACCTCAAAATAAGGTGACAATGAAATACTAACCCACTTGACTCATCCATCATATAACCAATTACTTTAACATATTGCTTAATTACAAGTTCACGCTACAAGACTCGGCGTCATAGTAATGACTAAAATGCTGCAAAAATAGGTTTTATGAATATGCGATTGTTGAATTTGCACAAGATGTTAATGAACAAATATTTTGCATTAACTAAAGGAGGCTTATGGTCCGACCAAAATGCACGAAAATACGTTTTGTGATGGTTTTAACACAATTTTGGTAACAATTAAAAAACCGTGACAAATCGTCCACATTTTTTGTGAAATATGCAATTCTCGAGTTTTCCCAAGATAATTTACGTGCGCAGCAAGGGAAATGTTCAACGCATATTTTTTGTGTCATTAACGTATTTTTTGTGAAACGAAGCCTTATAGACGCTTTGGTTAGGGGATGTGATTATGAGACAAGTTCAGGGCCGAAAGGGTAGAGGCAAACCTAGGAAGACTTGAACAAAGACTAAAAAAAGACTTTGAGTACTTGAATCTAACAGAAAACATGACACAGAACCAAATGCAATGACGTTCTAGGATTCATATCGCCAATCCCACTTAATGGAATAAGGCTTTGTTGTTGTTTGTTGTAACGTATTTTTTGTTGAATTCTTAAACTAGAAATAAAAAAACTCAATAATAAGTAGTGAAAATGCTTTGCTTCCAATTAAGATTGATGAGCATCCAAAATATACCGAAAGTGTTGATATATACATGCACAAGTACAAATTATATCCAAACCAAAGATAATTCAAGTATCCTGCCTGCGCGTTCTTATATACATATGCACAAACGTATCCAAACCCTTTCGCTTTCTGTAAGCACATCACAGATCATTCGGTAGGGGCCTCACGGTAAGAACTGGAAGCGAAAACTAACGTTTCGAGGAAAAGAGGGGTTGACAATAACCTGTAACATGATCAAACAACACTGATTGGATCCGCGGTTTCAGCTCAACTGTTTGTAGCACTTGTAAGCAACGGCAACTGACACTGCGGCACAAACAACAGCTAAAGCTGCATGCGTATCTTCACGCTCCCAGCTCTGAAACCATGTTGGCATTGCACAAACCTTGCGCGTGGATGCCCCTTTGCCACTGTTCTTTCGTGAAAGTAGTTTCCTGCTGCTTTTTTTCTTTTCACCTGTTGCCTTCGGTGCAATCTCATTCAAGTCGGGACTATCTATCATAGCATTCTGACAGCAAGACTTTCCATTTCCCTGGCAAAAGCCCCCGTTCTCAACTTGAGATCTACATACACTAGCATTCCCCCTATCCTTTGGTTGTGTCAACTCTGTAGTGGTTTTTCCCACATCTCTCTCGCCGTTAAGCTGGAGCCTTTGTTCTTGAGATTCCTTCTGCTGTTCTTCCGATAAACCCATCTGACCCCTGAAATCAAACCATAGATTCCGTCAGTAATCACAGTTACACAATGCATGCACACACACTAGGAACAAAAAATCTCAAACAACTTCTAGAAAATAATCTACTTCTAATTTTGCATGAGTTGAACTTGAACCAACTATTTCGTCTATATTTTCAACTTCCTGCGCCAATCAGAATAAATTTGCACAGCCAACCACACCGACTGCTGGCAAAGGAGGACCTTCCTCTAAGACCAATTTACAGCTAAACAGTATTTCACTGATGGAGCAAGCATAGATATGTGAAAATTGCTTCAAGGCCAGCCTATGAATTAATTTAAACGGATTACCTCCATAGCCAGTCTACAATTTCTCCTTTCCCGACATGCTGTTCAAGCAATACAGTTATGTCTTCTGGAGCAACATATCCATACCTACAAGAAATACAATCAGATTGCCAATATCAGTAACCAAGTAAAAGAATCGGAAAAGAGTGAAAAGATATACCTTATAGCAATAATAACAGAAAAGAGTGCTAAAACTAATACAAATTAAGAGAATAAAAAATCTCCTTACCAGTGGCCAGAGACTTCTCTGTTGCAATTTGATCCATATATGATAACATTTCCAGCATACTTATGCCCCCCAATGTGTGAACATGGACTAACGGACACTTTACCTTGAAGACCATGTAATTCTATCTCTTCTCTGAATCTACTGACCAATGGAGGACCACAGACTCCACAACGGCGATCCCGGGACCCATGAGAACATACAAAAACATACGAACCCGTCAGAGTTTCAGGAGTTCCAGGTTGCCATTCACCATCCTTCACAAGAACTTCTTCAACGAATGTATCAACATCAAAATGTGTCAATCTCCTGCATTTCATTGTTAGGTTTATGTTAGTATCAAATTTTAAGGGGAATCAAGAAAGTATCGAAAGGAAATCCCAATGGAACTTGTAGCTTACCTGTATCGGATCATGTCGGGGAAAATTAATACATCGCCATTTGATGTTTCAGTTCCATCATGCCCTTCACATATTGTTAAGCGGGTCTAGAAGAGGAAAGACACAAAAGAGTTATTACATCCACTTACCAAAAAAGCTAATACATCCAACTGCTAACAATGAACAGTAAACAACCGCCCCCAAGGAATCACCAATATCACGTTTCCCTGCCTACGTAACTTATCTGCAAGTGGATACTCATTTCATCCCATTCATTGTAAAAAATGCGTAGAGAATGGTTGTGTAGCAGAAATAGCATGAAAAATAAATAATTTCCACCACCACACGATTCCCATAATCGTCATATGTAAATATGATTGTCATGTTATATGTCAAATCATTCGATACCATAGAACTTTGTTATATACACAATCTCCAGCTTCTCGTACTGTGTTGTACAATGCCAAGGGCTTAATCAGTTTAGTTTATTTCTGAAATCATATTGTTCACATTATTCCACCTTCCCAAACTAAATCCTGCACCCACAAGTACACAGCAAATACCCCATCAATCAACCTCAAGTTTAGCCATATCCCAACCCCTTTTAACACTACCCAATTTAGAATTCTCCAAATTCTACACCATGAGATTCCGAAATTACTCCAAAAGGATACCAAAAACAAAACCCACTGAACAACACTAAAAGCAAAAGTTACCCCCTTCATGTTCAAGCTAGACACTAAATCACATGCTTTCAAATCAAAACTTAGATTACAAGCAAACATAACATGCAGCCAAGATCCATTTCCACTCGCCACATTCAAAAGCAACCCGCATTAAACCCGAAAGCGGAAACCTACCAAATCATACAGAACTAAAACACAAGCAATCCACTTGGAGTGATCAGAATTCATATCCAACCCACTAAAAGCTCGTTTGGATGTGCTTTTAAAATGACTGAAAGTTCTTTTGGTGAAAATATTTTTGGAAACAATCCTTAGTAAAAATGTTGGTAAATCTTGAAAAAGCACTTAAAAGTGCTTCCTGGAAAAAGCACATAACTAGTGCTTCTTGTAATAAGCACTTAAATGCTTTTGAAACCCAAAAACATTTTCTCTAAAAGCATTTTCAGTCGTTTTAAAAGCACATTCAACAAAAACTAAGTCACACACCTTGAAATCACTACTTAAAGAACAAGCAATCCCCAAAGCAGCCAAAACCCATTTCAACTAGCGAATTCGAATTCGATAAAAAAAACCGAAATACCACCAATTGTCAATCCAATTCATTCCTAAAAAGACTTAGATTTTTCACCAAATTAAGCACCAACCGCCATCAAATCACAAAGCGAAAAAACAAAAAGCATACCTCTTTCTTCATATCGCCCCTCCTAGCCATGACGGCGGCGTAGAGCAACCGAGGTAGCCGATCAAACTCGGCGGCCTCGATCCTCGGCGGCCAAACCTGCGGGTTCTTGTAGCACAAAAACACATGTCTTTGGTAAAACTCCACCGTCCCGGCGAGTTGGCTCGTCCGGAACTCGGGGCGGTTGAACCCGAACTCGGCGTCGCTGCTGCTCCCGCTGGTATCGGCAAGCAAGCCATCGTTCTGGAAGCTCCCGGAGGCGCTACCGATGTGGGAATTGGGGTCGGAGAGGAAGCTTTCAAGCGGGTCGGAGATAACGATTGGGGAGGAGGAGGTGGATGGGTTGGTGAATGCGAGTGAGTCGTCTCGGTCTCTGGCACTCCCCATGGGATTGGAGACTGAGTCGAGTCCGAGTGGAAACCGAGTTGGGTCCGATTTGGGTTGAGCTTTGGTTTTCCACTGCAATGGGAAGTGGAGAGTGGGGGAGTGAGACACTTCGGTCTACCGAATGGGCAATTACGACACGTGCATTTTGCTTGGAGTGTCTTCCCTTTGAGGTACGTTTGTGTGTGTGTATATATATAATTATATATAATATATATAAAAGAAACCTAAAGTTTTAGATTTGAATAAATAGAAAATGTTTACTTGTTTGGAACCAAGGAATCAGAGGAGTGGGGAATGAGAAAATGAGAATGAGATCAACTACTTTTTACTCTGCTTAATCAATTTAGTTACGTATTGCATAACGGATTCTGTTGTAAAATTTTGTACTTTTTTTATTTTTTATGGGTTAAACGTAGGAAAAGTCATAATTATGACTTTATAAGTAAGCATACCAAGATAAGACGTAATGTGCACGTAACTTTCAAGCAAAAGCAAGAGAAGTCAAGAATCGAAATAATTTTACTTTTCGGTACTAAGTAAACTTAGAGAAAGTCAAGAATCAGAGTAATTCTAATACATATTTAAGACAAGTAAACGTGTCATAAGTAGAAGTGTGATGTACATAATTGTGCCGTAAAAGCAAGAGAAGTTAAGAACCAGAGTGATTTCAGTATATGTGTTGTAAACCTGTGTAGTAGCGGTTTTAGGTGGTTGTACATAGTGGATCAAAAGCTGCAGCCAACAAGAATATGATGAAGGCGAAAGGCTATAAATACTAGACACTTCATTTCTACAGAAAATCTTCAACCGATTATCCGAGAATTGTTCGTCTCAATATACAAAATCACACCTTCCCTGGAGTTACATCCAAATCTCATTAATCTCACATCCCTCTTTTTTCTCTTTCTCCCCAAACATACTAGGATCATAGACTTTCACAAAATGCCGACACAACCAAACTTGTTCATGTGGCAGACGCCAACATCAAAAGGGTTTCTCACCAGGGAGATAAGAGGGGGAGCCGCCCTCGACCTGGTTCTTTTTTCTGTTGAACATGCCGCTGAGAGTAGGCAAGAGTGTCTTTTTCGTAATGGATGTATTATCTTTGTTCAACTTCCGGGCCTCAATAGTTTTCGTTTGAGGGTTCTGCTTTTGAATTCTGTAATGCCGTGGGGATGATTCCACTGACGTCTCTGTTTCTGTCAGTATCCGCAGTGCAGCATCAGCTGCTTTCTTCTGCTCCCTTTCTCGCCACCTTCGGAGCTCTCCTTCCACTGCCTTTTTCGCGGCTTCAGCCATTTCTGCCCTCTTTTTGGTCTCCTCAGTTGCAGCCTTTATTTCCTCCATTTCCTTCTGGGTTGCCTCTAACCTCTTCAAGGCCTCGTTTTCACTAGCCTTCACAGCTTCCACCTGAGCCATGGCAGCAGCCACTTTCATTTCTGCTAATGTATCAGACTCCTCAACCTTTCGGCTCAAAGACTCATACTCATCCTTTGATATAGTGATCTTGGCACCAGACTCGGAAATTGATGCCCTAGCAGCGTTTGTTCTCTCAGATAGAACTCTAATCTGTTCAAGGGCCCTTTCTTCTGCGGCTTTAGCCTCTTCGGCTTCCACCAAGGCAAGTCTCAGCTTCTTTTCTGCTTCTTTTACAGCAAGTTTAGTGGTTTCTGCTTCCTTCTTCAACTCCTCTGCTTTTATCTTCATCTCTTCTGCTTCTCGTCTGGCATTCTCGGTTTCTGAAGATAGCTGGTTTAGTGCGGCTATCATTTCATTGGAAGCACCTCTTGCTTTAGATTCTTCTGCCAGGCATGCTTCAAGCTCAGACTTAGTTTTCCGCAGTTTGACATGTAAATTCCCAGCAAGCGATTCTGTTTCTGCTTCCTTCTCCTTCAGTTCAACATGCTCTTTCCTCACATTCTCAAGCTCCACCTTGAGGGCTTCAACTAAGTTTCTGAGGCTGCTTTCTTCTTCGGCTACTTTATTCAGTGATTCCTTAGCATCATCTATCTCCAAAGTGACACTTCTGAGAGAATCTAAATCCGAAGCCCTTGCATTCTCCATTTGCTTTTGCAATGCTCCAACTTCATTCAAAGTTTCAGAAAGTTGTGCTTCAAGATTTCTAGAAAGTTCTGGATCAAACTCTTTTTTCAGAGAAAGCAATTTCTTTTCTGACTCTTCCAGTGTACCTTTATAGGACTGCCTCAAAACATCCTTTTCAGCAAATATCTTTGCTTGCTCCTGCTGGGCTTCCATAGACGCGAGCTTCACTTCCCCAATTGATTCTTGTACAGCCGAAATTTCCATCGAGATCTCATTAACCCTCTCCACATTGGCCTTGGCTGCATCTTCAGCTTCTGCTACCTGCTTGATGGCAGCAGCTTTTGCTTCCAAGGATGCATCACAGTCTTGACGGATTTTCTGTAACTCTTGCTTTGCAGAATTAAGTTCAGTAATCACACTCATGTACTGTGCTCTTGAAGATTCCAAGTCTTGTTTCCAAGCACCATCAGTTCCCGCAAGGTTGCCACAGTTTGATTCTTCAAGTTGCTTTGCCTGACATTTGGCAGCTTCTGTCGCCTTTATTGCAAATTCCTTACTTTCACTGAGGGCTTTCACCTTGTTTGACAAATCCTCAAGAATTGCCTTGGATTTTTCTAGCTCCACAAGTGCTTGGGCTTTAGTAGTTTCAGCATTCTTCAGTTGTTCCTTCAACTTGTACAGTTCTTTTTGGGCCAGATGAAGCTGTGTCTCGTTGGCTAGCACCCTCTGCATCGAAACAACAAAAATTTGTAAACGACATCACCTCAAGATAAATTTGGATACTAGAAGAGCATGCATTAATTAACCAAGCAGTTGCATTACAACGAGTACAACTTCTGTATAGTTAATCATCTCACAAGGACATAGAATTTCAATTAATCTATAGACCGAATGAAGGAAAAGAATGCATGATTTACACATAAGCAAGACTAAACCATTCACATCCATAGCTACAAATATACAACTTACTTCAAAAGAAGCTTCGTTACTAAAATAAATTCTCATGATAGATGGACATATTATGAGTTATCGACATCCGAAGAATAACTTCCTTCAAGAGTAACCTATGTGAAGTTTTTCAAAAATATACATACAACATATATGTGGTTCCTAAACGGAAAGGTAAAGGAATTAGAAATACCTCTGCTGAATGAGCTTTTGTCTTCTTAATGGCAGGTTTCTCCCCCGAGAATGCACCTTCACCAAATAGTGAAACAGCATCTTTAACAGATTGGAAAGGTGCCCTGGTGTCGATCTCTCCGACCTCCACCTTAGGACTAGGAGAACTTGTAGCACTTTTTGCAACCATACTGGTCTACTATTTTCTTAAACTTCGACTGCTTGCTGAAAATGATAAATAAAGTTTTTAACAAATATACTAGAGGAAGGAGAAATGAGGATAGCCGAATGCTGTCAACACCACATCTTGCAGCAACTCACATGAAATTCAACCAAATGCTCATTAGATTTCATACAAACAGTACAGGAAAGACAAACGGCCTCACAGGACATGGTTACAAGGATAAAAAGAAGTAGAGTAATAGAGAAACGACCTAAAATTCTGACAACATTCGCGCTCTAAAATTTCACCAACGCCAAGGTATAAGATGGTCCACACCATAGGTGAAACATTCTTTAATTTTAGAAAGGGCCACAAATTTTCCATGGACGCACCAACTTTATCGTTTCATCAACGGCATTGGATTCACACACGATTATTCGTAACTGAATGGGGCGATTTCAATTCACCTTCAACACGATGAATCAATTTTCATTAACTAGTTTCAATTTGACATTTTATACCAGAAAGTTCGATTTTGTAATACAGTCTAAAGGCCTCCGCAATGATGCTTCGCCGAAATCAGTTCAAAGATTCACCACTAAATTTATAAACATTCACATAATCATAAGACATCATTACATTATTTTAATTCTTCAAGAAAATGGGACCATGTAATCATCAACACACATCTTTAACAACGAAACAGTCCTTACAAAATTCAAGTCTTGAAAAAAGAAATCAAAACAAATTCAAAAAAAATCAAAACAATTAAAATTTCAATATTTCTTAACAATTATTCAGTAAAATATCAAACCATCTATCAAACCATCATGCCATCAGACGAATTGGGAAAAAAATAAAAAAGGAACAAAATTTAAACTTGCAAATATGTGAGAGTTGCTTACCCAAAAACTTAATCAAATCCCCACAAATTTACGCACCATAAACCCTAGAAATCACCGGAGTCCGGAAACCAAAGCGCCACTTGGATCATCCACGCAACGACGAACTCCGACCATCTTCCCCAATCTTCATTTCCTTCCGAAGCCGAAACCCTTTTAAATTCTCGACCAAAGAACCAAAACCCACCAAGAAAAATCTCTAAGTTGGGCCAGAATTCCCGAGAAAAATTCAAACTTTCTCGGTAAAGCCGGTGTTTTTTCCTGGAAAATAAAAACAGAGAAAAAGGGGGAAAACAACCGAACCGATCTTTGGGTTTGAAATATAATCGGGTTTTTGTTTTCTTGGACGTTAGAAACGGATAGAGAGGGTCTACACTGTTTTAGAGAGAGACGGGTTTGAAAATTCGAAAGCTGGTTGAAGACAAATATTACATCAGAAGGTCAGTCCGCGAAAGAGGAGAGAGAGAGAGAGAGAGAGAGAGAGAGAAGTATCCCGTGGGATATCTCTCTTGTCCTTGCCTGTCTTTTAACTGCATAACGAATTGTACGCGTCGGACGATTTTACCCTTGTGATTTAAAAATTGTAATGGTCAGCTGGTTGATTTTTGAATGTTACCGTCACACGAGATGGTGTATCACGTGTTTCTATAAAATAGTGGATTATGTGTGTTAAAAAGTTAATAACTTAAAAATTAAAATTATTCCACCACTTACATAAAAATACGTGATGTACCATTCGTGTTCATGTCACAACTAAAAAATTTCTCCTAAAGCAATCAGTCAGCAAGTGTGTAGGGGGGCAAGTGAGTGTGATGACGTGGCACCGTCCAAGGGAGAAAGAGATGGGTTTGGTTAGATTGTGAATTGTGAAAGGAATAGTTTGCCTTTTGGTTGTTTGTTTGCTAAAAATGTCAAACCAATGAGGCAATGACCAATGCATATGATGATGTGATGTGGGGTTTGGATGGATAATGGTGTTTTACCTCTTTTCCATCCCATTTCATTCTGTCCATTCCTTCTCGTCCACGCCCGTTGACCTCTAAGATTCATTCTATCTTATTTCGTCACGTACTAAATGTTCTCCTAATAAATATTTTCCAAGCATAAATGGTTTGAATAATAAATGATTCATCATGATTTTTGAATTAGAATTTTACCCAAACAGTAAGATAGTCAAAATGATCTATGAGATTGACATAACTCTTTGTATTGATCCTTGAGACTTAAAATTGATAGAGTTGGTTCTTGAATTTGTCTACCATCAATCATTTTAGTTATTTCATGAAAAATCTCCGTTTGATAAGGTAAAATGACAAAAATATCTCAATTTTTGCAGTATCATTTTGGTTCATTGTTATTTAAACTAAGGTATTTTTGTGATCTTGATCTTTATTTAATAGAGATTTTACCCGGAATAACCAAAGAAATGATGACAGTCAAACTCAAAGACCACATCAATTCCAAATCTTATGGATTAAAGTAAGAAGTTATACCGATCTCAAAGATCATTTTGGATAAAAAGTTTTTTTTTTTTTTTTGTTTAATTCTTGGTGGGAAAACTAGATATATCGGTCAAATTCTAATTGCGTTAGTAGTAACCTTCTAATTCAAATGATTGAGAGCATAATTTTAAACTCAAATAATTGAGAGCATTTTTTTTCCGAACCCAAAGTCATATGTTCTATTCTCCAATCCGAAACCTAAACTTAGAGATGGGTCATCCTTTTCGCTTTCTTGAATGGAAGAGGATCCATTCATGAGCTCAGGATGGGGATCCTTCTGACCACGAAATCCGAACCGTTCAAATTTAATCCAACGACTTCAAACAGGGAGACCTTCTAAAAGTTATAATAATTGCAACCGTTGGATTAAATTTGAACGACCCAAATTTCGTGGTCAGGAGGATTCCTATCCTAAGCTCAGAAGAATATCCTCTTCCTTATTGAAGAGCAATCAACCTATTTTGTTGACCCAAATTTTAGTAGGAATGCACTGGCGATGGCCTGTATATCTAACTCATGGGACATAAAGCAACATCAAGCCCATTCTTAATCCATGCGCCACATTTAGTTTGGTACTCTTGAAACCTAATTAAAGTGACAACGCAGAACAAGGTTGAAGCTAGCTCCTGTTATTACGGTTGGTTCGGTATGGAATTACAAACTGAAAATGGGATTCCGAATCCCAAATCAAAAATATTTAGGACGGGAATTTGAAGACTAATCCTGAATTAAAATTTCGGTATTTCTAATTTTCAGGATTTTTCAAATATTTTCAGCATTTCGGGATGGATCAGGATTGGATTTTAGGTATTGGGCTTTTGGGTTGAAATTTGAGATTTTTGACTATATGCTAAAATTTGGGCTTTAGGCCTAAAATTTTGTTCCCTAATTTCATATCAATTGAAATTTAGGTTTTTTACCTTATACCAATTGAAATACCAATTCATTCATACCAAGTCAAATTGATGTTCCAAAGTTTCAAACTACTTAATTTTAAACTCCCATTTATAATATAGTCTACTATCAAACTACTTAAATTCAATATTTAATTTGTATGTAATGGAAATAAATAAATAAATATATATATATATATATATATATATTTTGGTTCAGTTCGGGATTCCCAACTATTGAATATGTTATCCCGATTCCTATACCGAAAGGTTCGGGATCGGTTTGATATGGATCCCAAAAATTTCGGTACTATTGGTTTGAGAAATTTTCGATATGAGATTGAGATTTTTTTTTGTTTGGTTTGGGATTTTCGGGAAAATTTTCCAACCCTACATGTCATCTCAAATCAAAGGCATGCTCTTGGAATACCATGTCACTTCTTTTTTTATTAGTTTTACTATTATTAAGGGGATTAAGAGATTTCAAAACTATTACATCAATATAATGGCGAGGAAAGTTTCGAACTCAGGACGCATGATTAGAAACTTAACCCCTTATCTACTAAGATATTGGACCACATGCACCATGTCTCACCACAATACCATAAGTTGCTCAAATTGAAAGATGGAATGATAAACTTCATAATGTAAATGTAGCCATAAAGAACATGGGTTATTACTTAACAACTGCCGTACATATTTTTATCCAAGTGATACGTTAATTGATCCAGTTTTATACCAACTTGGCTGCGAACACCAAGTATCATATTTCCTCAAATATCATAACACTAGTAAGCAAATGAAAGTGTTGTGGTGTTGTTTTGATGCTCGTCTTTTTCTTTCCTACCCCTTCCATTCCCAAAATCTTTAGAGTTAATGATATCTTTTTTTTCAAAAAAAAAAAATATTGAAGCTATTTCTAAATTTTCTTTCACTTTCTAGGCAACCAAACAGGGCATGGAACCTTTTGCTTGTATAGCAAGTTTTGATCTTTTTTTCTTCTGTTCTCTGACCCATCTCTTTAAAAAGTATAATTTTTTGTTTTCGAGAATTCATTGTTTTAAATCAGATTGTAAATAGTTTGTGGAAGAATTGTAATGGGGCATTATAATTCTTTATTTTTATCTGTTTCGGATTCATAAGTAATCTTTCCTGCATTTACTGGCCGAATTGATAAGATAAATAGCTCATAGCATACATAGCTAAACCGAAACCCAGTGTTCATGTCTGTAATATGGATCATAGCGATCATACAATGCCGTCGAAATTTTCAGGTGAAGGGACCTTCCGGTGACCAGATTCATGATATTTTTTGTGACGAAGACTACTGACAAGTTTGAGTTTTTCGTTCGTCGCGAAGGAGTCCATCAGTTTTGCTTCACCAACAAGTCTCCCTATCATGAAACCAGAGATTTCGATACACATGTTAGCCATTTTACGTTCTACGATCAACATGCAAAAGATGGTGAGCAATTGATATGCGGAGCACTTTAACCCATTGTTAGAACAGGTACCAAAGCTCGGACCAAAACTGGATAATTCACATTCTATCAGCCGAGAAGGGCTAAGAGCGAGGAGTGGTCCGCTTGGGTGGATGGAACAACAAAGTTCCCCTGAATCCAAGGATGCAGTAGATTGTAGGACGTGTCGTAGGCTCTTTATGACGTTCAATTTGAGTGTCGTAGGCTCTTTATGACGTTCAATTTGAGTGTCGTAGGCTCTTTATAACGTTCAATTTGAGCAGCATTGGCTGAGGCTCAGACCGAACGACAGGCAATAGGTATTTGCTCAACTCCAAGTACTTTGATGATTCCATTGAGGATTATATCCAAATAAGGCATCTCTACTACTATTCTTTTCACATTTACGCTTTCTCATTGAACTAGTATTGATCCGTGCATATAACAACAATAAAACCTTATTCTACTAAGTAGCGCCGGTTGTATGAATTCTAGATGCCACTGCACTCGGCGCCAAGTCTTCCGTTAGCTCAAAGTACTCTTGTCTTTTCCTAAAGTCTCTTTATAAGTCTTCCTCTACCCTTTTGCCCTGAGCTTATGTCTTATAATTGCATTTTCTAACTGGAGAATCTGTAAATTTTTGTTTCACTTCCCAACCGTCTTAACCGATTTTCTCTCATCTTATATTCAATGACGACCACTCATACTTTACACCGGATATCCTCGTTCTTAATCCTCCATAGTGTGCATAAACAACTATAATTCTCTAGCACCGCGTAAGCATAGTTTCTTTCTCAATCTTTTCGTAATGTAAATTGTTTCTTGCAATCGTTGATGCAGCAAACGAAGCAACGGGTCAGAGGTCGATCCATAAGGCCTTTTTTCATATCGGCAGCGCTTGTCGGTGCCAGTGCTCCCCAAGTTTTCCCACTTCGCTGCCTTTTCGGTCGGAAGCTTGGGGTGACCAGAGTCTAACCTTGACACAGCCACAATATTTTACCACAGTAGAAGAATTTTACACTTCAATTCTTGCTCCATGCTTATGTTTTTGGGCATATGCGTTAAACTGCGATTTGCAAGTAAAGCGGAATGACTCCTTCAGTATTGCTCATACATTCAAATCTAGCAAGAAATCATTTCCCTTCGTCTTCTTTTTATTGAAATGTAGACTTTATTTACCGAAACTAGATACAAATGGAAAAGAAGAAAGTTTTTCGGAATTTGAAATCCGAAACAAAATAATTTCACACTAGAGTGGTTTGATAATACAATTAGGGAAGAAGGAAAGAATGTCATAAGCAAAGCTCTAAAGCTTGAAGCAAAGATAAGACGACGAAACAGATCGGTATATTCTAATACCGATCATCACATCGAACGGACAATATAGATACAATAAGTAGTCGTCGTTCTTTACTTCTTCCATCACCAAGTTTTTTGTTTTGGTTTTATACGCCACACGGTAAATTCCATCCATCATTGCTATACAGCTCCCTATCTTCTTTGGAAATGTACGGTGGAGCCAGTTACAGAACACCGTGCTCCTCCATCGGAGCACTTAGGAGAACAACATTGTCAAGACTCTGCCGGTGGTTGATGAATGCAGCAAAACCATTTTTTCTGTGCACCAGGAAATCAAACCAAATCAAATCATCCGCAAAGAGTGAGGAATTCAAGCATATTAGATTATGGCAGCAGAAATAATCACCCTCCAGTTATTCGTTCTATTATTCTACTAATTGGAAACACAGCAGATACAGAAAACGAATAGAGAAAACGAAAAGGCCACACAATGATCAATTGACAAGAGCAAATATTTCCAGGGCCATTAGTTCTTTCAATTATTCACAATAAAACAAACAAATGTTCGAATTAGGCTACATCTGTCTAAAAGGTGAGAACCCGAGTTCAGTTAACGCATGCCAATTCCACTCGAATGGAATAATGCAGATAAAACAGCCGAATCATCTTCTATTCTTTTATTTTTCAAATATCTTGGCCCTAACATTGGATCTGTCTTTTGCCACATTCCGTTAATAGAGTTCTATATAAGTCAGTTGCATTGATTTTCACATCAAATGGTATGCTGAGTTTGACCGATAAGGCAGTGTTACATATACTTGAATATTGTACTACCGAAGTCATTTGAAAAGCAATAACTTGCAACTAAGAAAACCGCAAATAATATATTGCCATTGGTTGACTCATGTATATATCAAATTATTGGAGAAAGAAACGAGACAACAGTTATGAGAAAAAATCTTACAGATGAAGGCCTGCCAGTGCCAGGATCCACTCCTCCTCCATGCCTGATATTAGGATCAACCTTTCCTGGTGACTCGGGTTTTCCACCTGTCTTCTTCTCATCCCTAGCCTTGTTAAAGATCACAGTAAACCCCTCAGCCGAAGCAGGATCATTGACGTCCCATTCACCAAATTTTGGGAGTGGCCTGCCTTTTTCCTGTTAGAATTCAGTAATATATTCTCATTGTTATTCAGCATGGCAATGCAAGGGGCACCCAAGTAATAAGTTTACAAATCTAATGATTGCGAAGCAATTACATATTCTCTTAACTACAAAAAAATAGTATAGACAAGCACTCTGTTACATCCCGAACCTATCTGTCTTCAAGCTTACAGGTACTGGCCCCATACACCTAAAAACGTATCCCAATATCATACCACTAGTTTTTACATGCCAAACACCAATCTAACAATTCTAACCTGGTCTCAACCTTGGGCTAGTGCTATATCATTTCAACTTTGAAAACAAATTTGGTAAGGATCTGAGTCGGAATATAAGTTCTTACAAACTTTCTATTGGTAGTAAGTTTTTGCGACATTGAGTTGAAGTCCTAACTCTTGTTCAGTGCTGCATCATTTGGATAATCCTAGACCTAGAGTAAAAAATAAAAATAAAAATAAAAGAGAGGGATTTCCTCCCTGATTGTTGTGATAGGAATCACTCAAAGACAATGGGAACCACTCCAATTCATAATAGCATTTCACTGAGTTCAACACTGTAATGGAAAACCGCGAGAATGTATAAACATAAAGCAACCAGCACACCATGGAGCTAATGTCCTATGAAAAGGATAGAAAATAGATATCAGACAGGAAGGAAGAAGATCAGAAAAGGCAACTGAAACACAACTATTTAGACAACATAAATCCATTTTCACGAAGCACTTAGCACAGATGTCGAAAGATACACCAATTGACTGAAATACAAAAAAAAGATAAAGAACTCTAACCTTCCCGGACGACATAAGAACCCAGTTAAAAGAAATCTACTTAGCCCTAAATGAAATCCTTGTTTTGGGCAAGGTAATAACAACAAAACCTCTTCATCCAGCTAGTTTATGCATTCAAAGTCGGGATGAAGATCACACACATACATACAGAACCATACAAAAACTTGACCATGAGAACTTAGGAAGTACGCAATGTCCTTAATGTACTAAGGATTAAAAGTAGATACAGAAACCAGTCATAAACACCATCAGGAAGCAATCCACTCAAACAATGAAAGATAATAAACAAACAACAATACCTTTTATTCTATTACAAATTGAGCATCCAACCGGAAACCAATTGGCAACGGGTGAAGACGCCAAAGATCATTCAAACTATTTATGTAACGCTTCAATTCCCGACATGGGATTCACACTCTCGAAGCAATATACTCTCAAAAATTTCAACTTACTAATTTTGTAATAAACACGAAGAAAACTTGTCATTTTCTCACTAACCCTTTTCTGTTCATTTCATTTTCACTAAATTCCTAATTAAGCAAAACTATAAATCAAACTGAAAAACTATAATCTGCTCCTCTGAAGAATCCAAATTTTGCATCAAGTATATGTATTTACTTTAATAATGATAAAAACATAAAAATTAAAACTAAAAACATGAATTTTGCTAAAAAAATTAATATAAAACCAATGCATCTGAGAGAATTACAATCAAGCCAATACAAATTAACAAATAAATCTAAATGAATTAGAGCTCAATCCAATCAGAAATCCAGCAAATAAGCATCGCAAAGATTAAATTTAAACCAAAAACGAATAAAGCCATACAAAGATTAAGATTTTATATTCGGATTGAAGAAAGAGATTACGTACCGACATGAATTCGATCAAAAAGGAAAGAACTTTTTTATTTTCCGGGAAAATGAAATGACTCGGAAAGCAGAGAGACAGAGAGAGACGTTGGGCCAGAAATGGGCCTATAATTGCATTGTGAGATCTGGGAAAGAATATGAGGCTTTAACGGTTTTTGTTTCGGGATGAACGGCGTTATTTTGCTGACGGGAACGGAAGGATAATTCGTATCGCCGTTAAGTCGGCGTCAGCCCTGACGTGGTTTGTGCGTTTGGAATAAAATTGAGAGTCAAACAAAAAATGGAAAATCCTGCATAAAATTCATGAATAAAATCGAACCAGTTTTTCACACATTCACATTTTAGTACTGATGCATTACTACCCTTAATTTTCCTTAAAACTCAGTTAAAACGCGTAATCGTCACAAATTTATCACATATCAATTAGATGAATAATGCATTTTTTGAATAAGTGACGAAGGCTTGATATAAGAATTTGATTGACCAAAATTCGTTGGCACATATTTTCTACTTTCAGGAAGACAAGTTATAGTAAAGTCATTTAGTGGTCATCATTCCACAAGCCAACAAGTGCATAACAAACGGCCAAGGGTAAAATCATTCTTGTACCCACTTGAGCAACGAGCTCTTTGCATTTTCATTTCTTTGTTGAATGCTTATTCTCGATGCATTAAATAAAATGCATTACTAGCTCATAAGTCAAAATTTGCTAAAATAAAATAAAAGATTAGGTTAAAGTGGCCTGGTTAAAATCGTGCTGGGAGAAAACTGAATGGGAAAAACTCCAAACTTAAGAGAAAGAGTAGCACATTTACAAAGGGGTTTTTATCACAAATGGTCCCTGACATTGATCAAACACATCACAAATGGTCATTCTGTTAAAAACGTTTTGGGCAATTTTCAAAGCTTCGTAACTCAATCGTTTCTTAACCAAATTCGACCCATGATATATCAAAATGAAGATAGGAAAGTGTAGAACAAGATTATACCTATTTGGAAACCCAATGGTTGCCGGAGATGGCCGGAAAACAGCCTCAAATGTGACTGGTCCGCGAAAAAACTGGAAAACTCGCCTGAAATGGGGTAAACTTTAAACATTCATAACTTCTTCAATAATTAACGAAATCGAGTGATTCAAAACCGAAAATCATACTTCTCGATGAGACTAAGAGAATGGTAGCTTTTTTTTATGGCTAAATCGTCGTAGTTTGGCCGGAAAACGACTCGAAATTGGCTAACTCGAAAATGGTTATCCAAGTTCGAGCCATTTTCCGGTCAAACCACGGTAAATTAGCAGTCAATAAAGGTACAATTCTCTTTGTCTCATTGAGAAGTATGATTTTCATTTTTGAATCACTCAATTTCGTTGAGTATTGAAGAAGTTATGAATGTTTAACGTTTACCCCATTTCATGCGAGTTTTCCAGTTTTTTCGCGGACCAGTCACATTTGAGGCTATTTTCCGGTCATCTCCGGCAACCATTGGGCTTCCAAATAGGTATAATCTTGTTCTACACTTTTCTATCTTCATTTTGATATATCATTGGTCGAATTTGGTTAAGAAACGATTGAGTTACAAAGCTTTGAAAATTGCCCAAAAAGTTTTTAACGGAAGGACCATTTGTGATGTGTTTGATCAATGTCAGGGACCATTTCTATTGATTTTCAATGTCAGGGACCAAAATGATGTGTTTGATCAATGTCAAGGACTATTTGTGATGAAAACCCTTTACAAAGTTATAATACAAATCAGTGAAAAGGGACCAAGCAAACATAGCAATCGTTTACCCAAAAAAAAAAATAATCGCAAATATAGGAATCTGGGTTGTCGCCTATTGAAGGCCTCCCATCAGCTTCATATCACCTTGCTATCTATGTTGATGGAATAGCACGTAGGATTGAGTGTTACAGAAAATGAATGACCGAGACTAAAAATATAAGATGTAGTAGTTGTGAAAATCAAACTACATTATTGTCCATCATTTTTTTTGTATGATAGAAGACTAAGTTGTTTTTTTACCATTTTTTTATTGACAAAGAGGATTGCATTAATTAGTAAAGATAAGTAAAAAGGAAGCAAGCAAACATAGGAATCCGAGAGAAGAAACGTTGGCCGAGAAATATCCAGGATGTCGCCAATTGAAGGCCTCCCAAAGCAGCCACTCCTCCTCAACCCCCAAAACCTTGACCCAAACCAAATGCCAAAATAGAGTTAATTTCTTGATATATTAGATGATTATTTCTCATTACAAGATGAACATATATATAGGGAAAGAAAGAAGACATAAGACCTAACTTTGCCTAACTTGCCTAATTTACATAAAGTTGACTAGTCTAACTTCACTAGTCATCCAATACTCATGGCTGCTTTTAGTTGACACTCCCTTTCAAGTTGGTGCGTAAATATCTCGAATGCCCAACTTGCTGAGTGAAAGATGGAAAATCCTACTTGACACTGCCTTTGTTAAAATATTTGCTAGCTGGTCATCACTCTTCACATAAGGCAAGTTAATGGTACCATCAACCATCTTTTCCTTAATAAAGTGCCTATCCACTTCAACATGTTTAGTACGATCATGTTGAACTGGATTATGAGCAATGCTAATGGCAGCTTTGTTATCACAATAAAGTTTTGATGGCTTTGTAGAATTAAAATCTAATTCTCTCAACAAAGTCCTGAGCCATAACAATTCTTGCACACCATGTGCCATACCTCTAAATTCAGCTTCGGCACTGGATCTAGCCACTACATGTTGCTTCTTACTGCGCCAAGTAACTAGATTTCCTCCAACAAATGTAAAGTATCCAGAAGTCGATCTGCGATCAGTTACTGACCTAGCCCAATCTGCATCAGTGTACCCTTCAACTTCTTGATGTCCATGATTGGAAAACATCAAGCCTTTTCCAGGGGCAAACTTCAAATACCTGAGAATGCGTTGTACAACATCCATGTGCGCTTCACTTGGCCTATGCATAAATTGACTCACTACACTTACAGCGTAGGCTATGTCAGGTCGTGTATGAGACAAATAAATCAACCTCCCAACTAATCTTTGGTACCTTTCCTTGTTAGCTGGAACTTGATCATGATAGTCTCCCAATCTATGGTTTTGCTCAATTGGTGTGTTTGCAGGTTTACAAGCTAACATCCCAGTCTCAGTTAATAAGTCTATAACATATTTCTTTTGAGAAAGAAAAATGCCATGCTTTGATCTTGCAATTCAATACCCAAGAAATATTTCAGAGTACCCAAGTCCTTCATTTCAAATTCCTTGGCTAGATACTTTTGAAGTTTTTGAATTTCCTCGACATCATTACCTGTAACCACCATATCATCCACATAAACAATTAAGGCTGTAAGTTTACCTCTATCATGCTTAAGAAATAAGGTATGGTCAACTTGAGTTTGTTTGAACCCATAACTTCTCATCGATTGAGCGAACCTGCCAAACCATGCCCTTGGTGATTGTTTCAATCCATACAAGGACTTTCTCAACTTGCATACTTTGCCAATATCGCAAGTGGTAGTGAATCCTGGAGGAAGATCCATGTATACCTCTTCATCCAAGTCTCCATGTAAAAATGCATTTTTTACATCAAACTGTCGTAGAGGCCACCCTAGATTTGCTGCCAATGACATAAGAACCCTAATAGTGTTGATCTTCGCTACCGGAGCAAATGTCTCCTGATAATCAATGCCATAGGTTTGAGTATAACCTTTGGCTACCAGTCTAGCCTTGTACCTTTCCACTGAACCATCAGTTTTATGCTTTACTGTGAACACCCATCTACACCCAACAGGTTTCTTGCCTTCAGGAAGTTTAACCAGTTCCCAAGTGGAGTTTTTTCGAAGCGCTTCCATCTCTTCAATCATAGCCTTTTTCCATTTTGGATCTTTAAGAGCATCCTGTAACTTATTAGGAACTGAGACTAATGACAATTGGTTTGCAAAAGATATATAAGAGTTTGACAAGTGATGAGATGAAACAAAATTAGATATAGGATATTGAATACCCTTTGTAGAAGAATGACCATAACGAACAGGGGGTATCCCTCGATTTTCTCGAATAGGATAACGAGCTTGAGACTCACGATGTGGTTCATTTGAATCATTTGGATCATCACTTAATGAAATCTCATGATTGGACTCATCAAATATAGTAGGCTGAAGAGAGGGAGAATAAGTGGTTACCTCAGGATAATTCGTACGAGTAGCAGCTGATTGGTCAGAGAGTTGGTCAATGTGGGGATCTATCTGTGGGTGGTCTATCTCATCATCCTTTTTCTTTATCTACCCTTTTTCTTGTCCTCTCATACACCTTCAATATTTTTTCACCTTATGCCTCATCATTAGGCAAATTTGAACCATCACCAACATCAGACAAGTGTTCATCTGAAAAATGCATACCACCAATGTCAAGCGGCAACTTCTCTTCCTCCTTACTCCACATCTCCCCCTGAAAAGAAGTGGCCAAATCTTCTTTTGAAAAAAATGCCTCGTGTTCCCGAAAGGTAACATCCATAGAGACAAAAAATTTCCCAGTTGGAGGCTAGTAACATCGATACCCTTTATGAGTAGCAGAATAGCCAATAAACACACATTTAATGGCTCTAGGATCCAACTTATCACGATTTTGCATGGGGACGTGAACGTAGCAGACACAACCAAACACTTTTGGAGGAATATGAAGGAGTGAAGGAAGAGAATGATATTGGGAAAGGGTCTGGATAGGTGTTTGAAATTGGAGAACACGTGATGGCATGCGATTGATAAGAAAAACAGCTGTGTGAATGGCATCACCCCAAAATCGTTTAGGAACGTCCATAGCAGAACATAAAGATCGAGCCACATCCAAGAGATGACGATTTTTACGTTCTGCTATACCATTCTGTTGAGGAGTATGTGGACAAGATGTTTGATGAATGATACCGTGTTGGTGAAAAAATGTTCCAAGTCCATAATTCAAATATTCTTTCCCATTGTCAGATCGAACAACTTGAATTTTAGCATGAAATTGGGTTTGAATCATTTGATGAAAGATTGGAAAAATACTCATAACCTCACTCTTATTTTTGAGTAAGTATACCCAAGAAACTCGAGTGCAGTCATCAATGAAAGAGACAAAGTATTTAGCACCAGTATAAGTAGGAATATGAAATGGTCCCCAAACATCAGAATGAATAAGAGAGAAATGAACATTACTTTTATGGGAACTTAAAGGAAATGAGACACGATTATTTTTAGAAAAAAATGCAAGTTTCACAATGGAAATCAGAAACCTTGACTTTAGAAAACAAAGAAGGGAATAGATATTGCAGGTACTGAAAGGAAGGGTGTCCCAATCATTTGTGCCATAACCAAATTTTTTCAGAAGCTTCAGATTGTTTAGCCTCCACTTAACAACTGTAACTTGTCTTCTCACAATCTGGTGGTAAGTCCAAGTAGTATAGACCTCCCCGCTCTCTACCATGACCAATCAATGCTTTCGTTCGAATATCCTGAAACCAACAATGGGTAGGAGAAAAGATGGCAAGACAGTTTAGTTGATTTGTAAGTTTACCAATGGAAAGAAAATTGTGAGAAAGATTAGGAACATGTAAAACAGATGAGAGAGATAGGCCTGGTGTTATGAGATGGAGCCTGCTCCAAGCACTAGAGTGGAAATACCGTTAGCAATGTTAACGGTATTTAAAGGTGGAGTAGTGTGAGAAACAAACCATGTGGAATTATTGGTCATGTGATCAGAAGCCCCTGAATCAATGATCCAAGGTTTATTGGGCGGAACAATTGTAATGTTCAAGGCAAAACCAAAGTTACCTGTATCGACTAAGGAAGTAGAAGCAGTAGTAGGTGGAACTGAGTGAGCAGATTGATCTACCCGAGGTATGGAAGGCGTTGGTGTCAGGTGTGCTGGTGATCCACCAATGCTTTTCTTTTGATTTTCCTTCTTTTGAACCCACCAATCAGGATATCCATGCAGCTTGACACAAGTGTCTTTAGTATGCTTATCCTTGTCACAATAAGTACATTTCCTTGTATCAGTAGTTTTTGATACACCTAATCGAGAATTGGAGACTCCACGGGGAAATTGAGACGGAGCAGCTACCATGGCTGATCCTTCCACTTATGGGCCAACCAACATAATGGTTTGCCTACTTGCTTCAGCATTCACAAGAGCATAAGCAGCACGAACAGAAGGCAGAGGTGTTTGAGTCAAAACTTGACTGCGAACACGATCTAAATGAGGATCAAGACCAGCCAGAAAATCATACAATCTTTCTTCCGAAATTTCTGTCTCTCGGGTAGCAATATCATCGGCGCACTTCAATTTTCTAGGACGCAAGAAATCAATTTCTTGCCATGTTTGCTGAAGTTTACCATAATATGCAGATAAAGGTTCTCCATTCTGGCGAGTTGCCAGTGCTTGACGACGAAGTTCGTATAATTTTGATGCATCTTTTTCAATTGAGTAAGTTTGGGTAACAGCATCCCAAACATCTTTTGCAGTAGAGAGTCTGAGAAAAATGGCTCGTACATCTTTGGTCATGGAGTTGAGTAACCATGATTGAACCATGGCATTATCTTCCTCTCATATAGCATACAGTGCATCAGCTTGTGCTGGTGCCATTTTTTTCCCACTGACATAAGACCATTTACCTTTGCCAATGATGTAGATGCGGACACTTTGGGACCATGAGGAATAGTTGGACCCATCCAACTTGTCTGGGGTGATATGTAGAGACATATCACTTTGAGTAACAGTAGCTGAAACAGTGGTCTTGGAGTCACCCATTATTACTGCCTCAGAGGTTATGGGTAAATTTGTTGGGTGATTCCAACAGGTATGGCTTATGGGGTATTGTTTTTTTTTTTTTTGAGGAAAGATTTCTGGGTTTTTTTTTTGCAGAGATACTGCAAATGGGAAGAATATGGGAAACGATGCAATGGAATATGTATGGTTAACAAGCTGAATATGGGTAATAATGTTGGCAGATATGGCCAACTGAAAAAGAGTAAGATTGGATTGGTATGAAGGTAGAAGACTTGCAAAATAGCAGGTCTTATTGGGTAAATGGCAGTAGTGCCAATAAGTGAATCAGAATAGAAACTCTTTTTTGATCAGAATTGCTCTGATACCATGCCAAAATAGAGTTAATTTCTTGATATATTAGATGATTATTTCTCATTACAAGATGAACATATATATAGGGAAAGAAAAAAGACATAAGACCTAACTTTGCCTAACTTGCCTAATTTACATAAAGAAAGTTGACTAGTCTAACTTCACTAGTCATCCAATACACATGGCTGCTTTTAGTTGACACCAAATATTGTGGATTACTTTACTTTACAAGAATAAACATGATTAAGTACCCCAAAAAAAGAAGAATAAAGATGATTAATAATAATAATACTATTAATATTAAAACATTCCTCGAGAGATGATACCTGGACCATCAGCTTCACATCTGCTTATAATCTATCCATATGAAAGGGATGTGGGATATTTTGTGCCAGTAGCGTCCTTTTCCTGGTTGGCATCTCTCTTTTAGCACTGGACACTCATATATGGTAAGTCGCTCTAGTGAAGGAGGCAGACCCTCCTCTGGAATGGATGCTAGCTTTGGACAATTGGAAAGATCCAGAGATTGAAGGGAGGTGAGGAATTGAAAGCCCTTGCTGCTCAGTTTCTTCAGATTCGGGAAGCCATCTATTGAGAGGTTAGTGAGAGATTTGGGGAAGAGCGTCTCCATCCGTACCATGTCGGGTGGAAACGACACCGTATCCGGGTCTGTACTACGGATTCCCAACTCCCTAAGAGAGGTGAGTCTGTGCAACCCCCACTCCAACTCCCACAATGACTTGCAGCTCTTGACCTTCCCAATTTCAAGTGATGTTAGGTTGGGAGGAAAAGTCAAACCTTCACGGTAGTCGATGCTCAATTCCTCAAGAGAGTTGAGATTGTGCATGTCTTCGGGCAACGCCTCCAATTTGTTGCATCCGATGATCCAGATCTTTCTCAGGTTGGAGGGTCTTCTCCCCCCACTCAGTCTCGGGATGGAAACAAGACTTCCACAGTTCCCAATACCTAGAGTTTGAAGATTGCTGAGGTGGCATAAGCCATCCGGTAAGGATTTCAGATTTTGACAATTCCAGATCCTAATATATTCAAGACAATCATTAGTGTTGTCGCGGAAGAACCCGTCCCCTGCGATTAGCTCCAGTCGGTCACAATTCTCTAAATCAAGGTGTTTAAGTGTCCTGGGAAGCTGGCCACTCAATGATAACGACATCAGAGATTCACAACCTCGGATACGTAAATACTCAAGACAACTATGAGAAAAAGACGACCAAGAAGAACCAACAGCCTCCTCATCTACTAGTGATTTCAAACTTTTGCAATCTTTTATCTCTGTTCTTCTGAGATTTTGGGGAATCTGGAATTTTGCAAAATATATCAACGAATCGCACGATGTAATCTGGATGTCTTTAAGAGAAGGTAGACCAACATCTGGGAAAGAAACTAGACTTGAACATTCGTGTATGCGAAGCTCTTGAAGAGACGACAGCTGATTTAATCCTTTTAGTAGCTTCGAAAGATTTTCGCACTTTTTTAACTCCAGAAATTCAAGCTTGCACTCCGATATTTGCAACTCCTCAGCTTCTTTTCCCAATTCTTCAACTAGACGAGAGTTGTCTTCAATTTCCAAACTGCCAAGAGAAGTCAACTGCTGCAATAATCTACCCTCCTCATTCTTCAGTGAAGACGTCACCTCCTCACATCCACTGATCTTCAAATCTCTAACCTTGGTTAATCCCTTCTTCAACAACTCCCCTGTTTGCAGAGACATCATCTCCGAAATGTTTGAAAGGCACAAGGACTCTAACAACTCAAACTCAACCTTAGCAGCTGTATGCACCAACACTTTACAACCGTCAATGTTTAATTGACGAAGTTGTTTGCAGTTGGCAATTGAAACCACTAATTCTTCACATTCAACAATTTTAAGCTTAGCTAAAGAATTGAGGTTCTCTGGCAGTTTACCCTCCAGTTTAGAACATTTTTTTACTAAGAGTGTTTTCAAGCAAGGGAAAGCACCACCTTCGTGATCGGCTTGGAAAGGAAGCCATTCCTTCCAATGCTGCATTTCCACAAACTCAAGAGTCTCTAATACCGGAAAAGGCAACATACGCTCTCCATAAAACTCAGCACCAACACTTTCCACTGCATTCATTCCACTAATATAAAGTTCCCTGAGATGAGGCAATTGTCCGAGAGGAGGCAACGATAAACAATTGTTACATTTCTGTAAGCACACAAGCACCATATTAGAGAACAAAGGACCTCCAACCCATGATGAAAATTCCTCTCCGGCATAACTCTTGATGGTGAGCTCCTTGAGCTTTGTATGAGGCTCTAACATGTCAAGCACAACGGATTCCGTTTCTCTCGTGTCGCTTGAATGAGACCATTTTAGGACCAACGAATCAAGCCTCTCCTTGCATTTCAAGTTGGCCCTCCTGGCATCCTCGACATCAGTCACATTCTCCAATCCTGAGATGCACAATGTCCCTCGGAGATGCGATAGGGGCCCTATCTCTCTTATTCCTGATTGATCACTTCCACCACTGACCACAAAATTAGGCAAAGATTGGAGATTCACCAAGCTACCTAGATTTGGAGGCATTCCTTCCAACGAAGATACATATGAGTTGTTGAGATGGCGCAAATTAATTAAATTACTCATGTCCGCAAGCAATGACTTCAAATAGTAACAGTGTTCCAATATCAATGTCTGCAAGTTGTAAAGAGTACTTATCGATTTAGGCAAACTAGTTATATATGTGTAGGAAAGGTCAAGATACTGTAACAACCTCAAATCACCGATTGACTCTGGCAGCGCAGTTATTTTGTAGTCATTGAACGAGAGCACTCGTAAGTATTGCAACTGTGGTAATAGCTTAAAAGTAACCTGACGAGACAAAAATTTTAACCATCCCGTGGAATATGAAAGCGAAAGTGGCAGGAATGTTCGCAAACGTTCAGCTTTTGGAAAGTCCTCAAATCTCTTAACTCCATCAAATTCACCAGCAATGAAAGACGAATGGCGAGCCCCTCGAAAGCAAGTGCTTTGCAAGTTATCACCTTGCTTATCTTCCAACCTAAAACATATTTCTCCTGCAGCCCATCGTGTTAACTCAGAAACGAGGTCATGCATTACATATCGTGAATTGTTTTTGCTTGATTCTTGAAACAGCGACCTTGCTAATAGCTCTCGAAAGTAGTCGCGGCCCAAATCCTCCATTTGTTTATTGTTGTCAGGTTTTTGTTGAATCAAACCCTCTGCCATCCACAAAAGGACGAGCTGCTTCTCCCCAAATTCGTAGTCATTTGGAAGTATTGAGCAATAGGCAAAACACCTCTTCAAATGTGATGGAAGATAGTGATAGCTCAACTCTAGTACGCGGGGAAGGTTACAGTTATCTGCGAGATTCCATAGTTTGTTGTCCAATATTTCTCCCCACTCATCTGTTTCTTTGCAACGTAAAAGACCACCGAGAGTCCTCGCAGCTAATGGTAAGCCACAACATTTTTCAACAATTTTTGTCCGAATTAACTCATAATTTACTGGTTTTCCACTATTAACTTCCCCGAATGCATGTCGCTCAAATATTTCCAAACAATCATCATTTGCCATACATTCCAAATTATGAAATCCAGTGGCTCCCATAATCTTTGCAACATTTAAATCACGGGTTGTCACAATAATCTTACTTCCTCCTGCTCCGACGCCAAAAGGGGATTTAAGTCTTAACCAGAGATCGTTTAGATCACGGTCACCTTTGTTCCAAACATCATCTAAAACGATTAAAAACTTTTTTCCTCTTAATTGCTCACTCAAATCATGCTGCATTTTACTAAACTCCTCCACTTGAACGGGTAGGGGTTTCATTGATTCAAGAATTGCCTTTGTCACTCGCACAACATCGAAGTCATCGGACACAGATACCCAGACCTTGAGCTCAAACTCCTTCATGGCATCATCTTTGTTGTTGAATACAAGTTGAGCAAGTGTCGTCTTCCCAACTCCGGGCATGCCAACTATAGCAACCACACCAAAATTGGTAGACTTTTTCAACAATTCAATAATCTTCCCTTTGTCACCATCTCTTCCAACAAGAAGCTTTTCATCTAACACGCCTGAACATGGTAGACTTCGCGATTCCTTAGCAGACGTCCCAGTATCTTTCAAGCTAAACTTAACTTTTCGGTCAGATATGTCTTGTAACCGCTCCGTAATCTTCTTCATTTCGGAGTTCATATTCCAATTCAATTTAATTTTGAAAAGTGAGTTTCGCACCTTGTTGCTCGTGCTGGCTTGATCACGTCCCTCTATCGTGCGCTTCAACATTTGAGTCGCAAATTTGTCCAACATGTCTTCGACATCATAAGCAAGGTCTCTGAGATTATTGAGCCATAGTTTTACAGCATCGTCAGTCCGTTGTCTTTCATCGGCGTCGCTCAGCACTGCTGCGATTGTAGTTAACGTGGCCCTCCACTTCTCCAGCTTCTTTCCAACACCCCGGAAGTTTCCAAAGTAGTTGAGAATGTCGCGAGGGGTCAACCTGTCAAGCAGCAACTGTAGAAACGCCGCAAGAAAAACCTCTCCAAGTGGCATCTTAGGAGCGCTGAGAACTCCAAGCAACCAAAGAAATAAGGAAGCGTTCTTGAGCAATATTGAGGTGAAGAGCTGCACAAATTAAGTGAAGAAACAAATGAATAAAAAGTAGTTCAAATAAAATGAGAAACAACTAATGTATTATTCAGTGAATAATAAGAACTTACAGGGAAGTTCAAATCTGACTCCGCTTATGATCAACAAATACAGACTCGACGAAGGGAAGATCAACAGTCAAAGACTAGTTCCTTGGAGATTTGGAAGCTTGATCTGTTGTCACAATTGCACAAATTCAAATGGTGAGAACTAATTATTGATGCCTCCGCCATCATACACAAATAGGTAATGACAAGGAGACTAAATTTGCAAACTAAATGATGTGTCACCACAATAAAATAAGCATGTTAATCAACACTAAAATAATAATCCACTCATCAACAATCGTGTCATTTAGTTTGCAAAATTTTGTTAAAAACTAGAAAATACGCCCGCACGCTGCTGCGGGAACCACTGTTTCAGACGTAATCGGATGGATAAAACACATTTAAGTTGAATAAATTCAACACAATTACAAACAAACAGAGGGATACATGAGTGAATGAGCCCAATAAGATAAGCAATTGTGCTGTTATACATATTTAAGTGAGTTGGCATATAAACACAATGCACAATGAGTGGGAAGAAACTGTACGTGTTTGATTAGAAAGAGATGGTTTCCAAACAATTTCCGTTTGCTTAAGAAAAAGAAGAAACATTTAGTTCACACATAACATGTGTCCTGCAGTGTAGGCAGCTAGTTCAACAGGTAATTTAAAGCAGAAAGTGTTGAGGACTTGTTCAAGTAGCTAATTTTGGAACCATAATTGTTCAAAGGCAAAAAAAAAAAAAAAAACAGAAGGCCTGTTTCCATATATGAAACTGTAGAAACAGAAGGAAGCTGCAATTCACACATATTTTGCCCCTGCAGTTAAGACGGCCAAATATATGCTTTGCAACCTACATAACTCACTTAGCAGTTAGCAAAACACAGAAAAAGTGGCGTTTGAGCAGGTAACTCGTCAACCATAGATGTTCAAACAAAAAAATATGCAGCATGTAGAAGATTTGCGAAACTTACATAATGAATAAGGAAAACACAACCAAAAAGCTTTTTGACAGTGTTTTAGTTCAAATTTTGAAGTGATAGCCGATAAAGAAAATACATAACTTAATTATTTATAAGTTAATGATACTTGTGGTTTGAATGTAAAATATCCATGAATTTTTCAGAACATCTTAGCTGCATTCATGCATTGCTAAAAAGCCACACATTTTCTTAAATATGGAAGTTGTGATTTTTCTAAAAAAATGTCGAGTTCGTTTAGAGAGCGCAATTATCAACAAAACATGTTAAAACACTTCGGGGAGGATGAGATAGTTCACCATCAGAAAACCAAACGAAAACACCAACCAACCAATACAAAATAAAAGAGATAAAATGACCAACAACATCCGATAAAGAATTAAGAGCACCGGGTTAAACCAGAATCACAGAGATAGCAACGGGCCTTCAAACAATAACGGAATTGCACAAACAAAATTAGAACAAAAAAAATAAAAAACTAACCATCCGACCTCTGGACAATGAGACAATCACAGAGACAACCAAGAATGAAAAACAAAGCATAAAGCAAACGAATAACAAAAGGTGATCAAACCAAACAATCAATATAAAAGATCATAAAGTTGCGCTGCCTCAAACGGAAAGAATGGGAAAAGAATGCATTTAAGTTCAGCTAGCATACCGAAGTCTTGATTCAAATGCAACGCCTCAGAACCGTTAGATTAATCGCAGCAGCAAGAGCAGATTACAATGCCGTGATGAGAGTCCAATCTAAACTGCAAAAAATGAGTGAGATTCAGAGTAAGAATTCAAAGCGCTAACAAACGGATCCAATAAAATAACTAAAACTGTATCGCTCCAATGGTATAGTTAAGACTTAAAGACAGTTTTCACACTTATTAAACCATGACGGTCAACTACGATTTAAATACATAAGAATATTGTGCTTGTATAAGGGATCCCTAAACCAAACATTCTATGGAAAAGTGCGTAACTTGACTAAAGGATGTTTATTCTAATTTTGGCACTTGATTCCTTCGGAACTACATATACAGAAATAAAACAAAAGGTCTGATTTTCATAACTCACGGAGATAGCAGAGTAATTAAAAAGATTACAGTTCCTTACCCTGTTTGGTTGCAGACAAAACGAAATATGGAAAAGAAAAAAAAGAGAATATACTTCCATTAAATTACTCAATTAAATCAAATAATAGGTCATTTCCATGAAACGAAAAACAAATCATTCAAAATTAAAACACTAAACCTCCACTGAACACAACAGACAACCCAAGGAGTCTACACAGATTCAAGTTTCCATATTAACAGATAACTATATTTCCATCACCTTCTCAACAACCAAGCAGAAAATAAGTTTAGAAGTAAAGACGAAAAGCTTTCCATATTCATAAATTGAAAAGCTTTCCAACAAATTCGAGTTCAATCACAAATGAAACAAACATTTACGCTCGTGTGATAACCATTTAGGCCAAAACTGTGCACACCTAAACCATTTCTATTACTGCCAAATGTTCACTACAACTCATTGCATACACAAATCTACCTATTTTTTTGTTATCTTAATAGCATGATCTACCTACAACGCAAGTTTAGTTAAAATTCCAAAAACAAATTGGGAAGTTTGTATTTAAATTTCATATCACAACCATAAGAACTCTGATGTCTACACAGATTCAAGTTTCCATATTCACAAATAACTATATTTCCATGAAAATTAAGAGTTCTCTCAAACAAAAAACTGATTGAAAGACAAATTAAAATTTAAAAGAAAAATGAAAGCACAAAACTTGATTTATGAAAACAAAAAACTGCATTGTGACAAATGAAAGCACAAAACTTGATCTCCATGACTTTTACACATAGTATATAGCCTATATCCAATTTCCTTAAGAAAAATCCAGCAGTTAAGTATTGATACGTAACTGAAAAACTCAAACTAGGGGATCAAAATGAGTGTTTCAGCATAAAATAAATTCAATCGTTAGAAGGTCTTACAATCAGAGAAAAGAAAAACAAAACGACAACCCACCACCCTCCAATGCCAACACAAAACACATACCAACAGGACATGATGAACATGAAAATGAAGCTGAAATGAAAAAAAAAAAAGTAGAGCCTAAGCTGAAATGGATTCAAAGGAAAAATTTTCCACCAGAAGAACAACATCGTTACCATTCAAATACAAACATATAAGACAATAACATATGTTTTAACTCTCCTTCCAGCCTTGAAATAGATTTGGCAAGGGGGGGTCAATCTGGAAACCATCTAATAGACTAACTTTACGTCAGATGTGTGTGTGCGTGTCTGCGTGTGAAACTGACTCCAGAAATATGTACTTGTTATAGTATAATGTTCAACTAACTTAATCATGTCCAAGGTGTATGCCATCAATTGTTCTTCAATTGCTGAGTCCTCTTCGAGCTCATTTGGTATAGTGCCCTATATAAGTGCTGTTTAATGATCTCAATTCAATGTTTTCTCACCCTAATTGATGGCCAATGGAAAATAAGCCAGCTTTTAATTCAGTTTACTGTCTTTCAGGCCAAACGTATTCATTCTAATCTCAAAATAAAAGGCCAAATATTAAGCATTAACTAATGAGAATTAAAATATAAACTCAAGAATTCAAAGTTTCAAATGTGCCCTGTCTTGGGAAAAAGTACAACCAAGATTGGGCAACCTTGACCAATCAGATACCCCCAAAAACAAAAATAACAAAGATCAATCCAAAAAGGAGTTCAAAAGTTTAGAACAGCAAACAGCCAAAAAAAAAAAAAATATTAGAGAACGCAGCATTATATCATATTTTTCAATGAATTCTAAACCTAGAAATCATTACGCCTATACCTTTTATTTACACCACGGGGGTTACTCTACCCCTACATCTACCAATCCAAATTTATTCAAGAAACAATGCTGAAGAGAAAATTTCAGAAATAAGAATGTCCCCATGATTAGTCTTCTCGTTAATTTTTCACAAACAAATCGCATATCTAAACTAAAATCCAAGTACAAAAGCTTTGCAAAGATAAATTAAAAGTTTATATAACTAATTAGACTTTGAACATGCAATCAGGGCACATAATCATATACCTAAAAATAGCAAGGAGCCGGCTTGTTCCTACCACAACCAGAGTTCCTGAAATTTCCAAAGAAAATAAATCCGTTGGCAATTTAGAGAAATTGGAGGACCAAACCGTATTAAATTTGAGTTAAATGAGCAAAGGTATACCAATTCAATGAAACACTAGACACGTTTTGAGTCTATGAAATAGAAGAACAATCATGTTAAGACCCCCAAGATGGTGTCCTGAGCACAAAATTATAGATTAATAAAGGTAAATCCCAATCCAAAGCTGAAACCTTTTAACCGAAAATGAAAACAAAAAGCATCGAACATATGTTTGAGTTTTATTATTAGATTTTCTAAATCCTCAATTTGAATGTGTTGTAAAGAAAATATCACCAACTAAGGGTGGCAATCTGACAATCGCTGTGCATGTCATGCCGACTCTATGCAACTGAATATATAAAATTTAAGCAGCCCCAGAGTCTCCTAAGACAAATGTGGACAAACCATATAGAAATTACAATATATGAACAGAAGTGAAGGATTAATATAAACTAATAAAGTCTAAATTACTTTTACATACGCTCTATAGAATAAAGATGTCCACGTCCAGTTTCTTAGCTATTTTGATCCCACGATATTGCAGCATCTTTCATATGACTAATGAAAAATAAGCAAGACTCAGAAAACATAAGGCTGGACAGGAACAGGTACTCCTTTTACCATTTTACATCATACAATGTGTCCATATAAAATCACTTCTTGGCATAGAATCACCTTATTGTATTTAACCTCATGAAAACAACTACGTTCAATTACAGAAATTCCCTAATGACTGTGTCTTAAACAACTTCTTAATTAAGTCAGATATACCAATCTAATAAAAAAAAAATCCATGTTTCAATCGATCCTATTAATTCCAACTCCAAGTATTTTACCATCCAGATTTGGGTCGTTTAGAATTTATCCTGCACTACATGTGATAATTCTGCTTGTTTTTGTTTTGTTTTTAGCTTGTCATTGCTCTGCCCAGCCTAATGAGCACAGTTTCACACAGTTTAAGAGAGTCTCCTAAGCAGAAAATGATAGCTGAATTGTAGAATTTTTGATGTGTATTTCATGAAGAAACAATTACAAATGAAACATATATATAGGAAAAGAAAGTAGACATAAGCCTAACTTGCCTAACTTGCCTAACTTGCTTAACTTACACAAAGAATGTTGACTAGCCTAACTTCACTAGTCATCCAACATGTTTATTTCATGCATGCATTTTACACAAAGAATGTTGACTAGCCTAACTTCACTAGTCATCCAACATGTTTATTTCATGCATGCATTTTAACACAAGATATGACTTGCATGTATTCTTCCAACACTCCCCCTCAAGCTGGATCGAGGGGATTCACTGAGCCAAGCTTGCCCAATAACCGATGAAACTGAGATGATGCTAGTGCCTTTGTAAAAAGATCTGCTAGTTGATCATGGCTTCGTGTGAACATGGTCCGGATGATTTGCGTTTGAACTTGAGCTCTGATGAAATGACAATCCACTTCAATATGTTTGGTTCTTTCATGGAACACAGGATTGGCAGCAATATGCATGGCTGCCTGATTATCACACATAAGCATCATAGGAGTAGAACTAGGAAACCCTAAGTCTGAAAGAAGCCCTTTAAGCCAAATGAGTTCACACGCAGTGGCTGCCATGGCTCGATACTCAGCCTCTGCGCTGGAACGAGCAATTACCTGTTGCTTCTTACTCTTCCATGTGACAAGGTTTCCACCAACAAATGTACAATAGCCTGTGATTGATTTCCTATCAATTGCATTACCTGCCCAGTCTGCATCTGTGTAGCCACTAATGACAGTGGACTGATTGTTATGCATTGTAATTCCTTGCCCAATTGAACCCTTAAGATAACGAAGGATTCTCTTAACAAGGTTAAGGTGATCAACAGTGGGAGAGTGCATGAACTGACTAGCCAAGCTCACTGCATATGTGATATCTGGACGAGTGATAGTGAGGTATATGAGCTTGCCTACTAATCGTTGATAGTAGCTTACATCATGCATGGCTTCTCCATCTATGCTGAGCTTCAGTTTACAATCAACGGGAGTGATAACAGGCTTGCAGTCAAGCATTTTTGCTTCTTGAAGGAGGTCCAATACATATTTCCGTTGATGTAGAAACAGTCCTTTTGAAGATGTTGCCATTTCGATCCCCAAAAAATACTTTAACCTCCCCAAATCTTTGATAGCGAAAGCTTGATGTAGTGAGAGTTTTAGTGCCTCAATCTCCACGGTATTATCTACAGTGATGATAAGATCATCAACATAGACGAGGACCACCAACTTCCCCCTGGTGCCAGTTCTTACAAATAACGAAGAATCAGCATTACTTCGCATGAATCCAGCCTTTTCCAGAACAGAACTGAGCTTGGCATACCAAGCTCTTGGTGATTGTTTCAATCCGTATATTGCCTTGTGCAATTTACAAACCATGTTGCCTTTAATACCATCATAGCCTGGAGGAGGTTGCATATACACTTCTTCCTGCAGCTCGCCGTGAAGGAAACATTCTTCACGTCCATTTGGTAGAGTGACCATCCACAATTGATTGCAACTGACAGTAAAACCCTGACTGAGTTCATCTTGGCCACCGGTGCGAATGTTTCCTTATAATCTACACCAAAGGTTTGGGTGAAACCTCGAGCAACAAGTCTAGCCTTGTGTCTCTCGATAGATCCATCAGCTTTGAATTTAGTCTTGTAAATCCAACGACTTCCAACAGCCTTTTTTCCTGGTGGTAGTTGAACTAGGCTCCAGGTGCAATTCTCTTCCAGTGCACGAATCTCTTCTTTCATGGCTTGGTTCCATTGTGGGAGAAGAGAAGCTTCTTGAAAGCTTCTTGGTTCATAGTGCTTATCAATTTCACTGAGAAATGCAGCATGAGATGTTGAGAACTTACTAAAGCTGATACATTCATTGATTGGATGTCGTGAGGCATATGTAACATAGTCCTGCAACCTAGCTGGAGGTTTTCTGATTCGAGGAGGATTTCTTTTAATCACCTGAGACTCTGTAGAGGGCGGAGAAGGATCAGAGTAGGGCTCGTCTTCACTTTCACTGGCAGTAATTTGGTCAGTTTGAACTTCTTCACAATCTGGACTTACAATGACTGATCTCTTTTCCAACATCGGATAATTAAAGTTTTGAGGGAGTGGGAACATGTCAACTAAATCCTCCCCCTGACTTGTAAAATAGGGATAGTCTTCTTCGAACTTCACATCTCTTGAAACTGTGCACTTCTTAGTGACTGGATTGAAGCACTTGTATCCCTTTTGAGTGGTCGAGTATCCCATAAACACACACTTGGTTGCCCTGGCATCTAGTTTTGTCACGGTTCAAGGTTTGGATGTGAACAAAACACACACAACCAAACACCTTGAGATGTGTCAAATCTATTTTCCTCCCCTTGAGAACTTCATAAGGAGATTTAAACCCTAGCACACGACTTGGAAGTCGATTGATGAGATAAGTGGCAGTAAGGATGGCAAACGACCAAAATTTCTTTGGAACGTGCATGTGAATCATGAGAGCACGAGTTTTTTCCAAGAGATCTCTATTTTTCCTCTCGGCTACTCCATTTTGTTGGGGAGTCCCCACACAGCTGGTTTGATGTATGATACCCTGAGAACTTATGTATTGAAGCATGTTGTTGGATAGAAATTCAGTGCCATTATCTGACCTTAAAACCTTAATGTTTGATTGAAATTGCGTTTTAACATGCATGTGAAAGTCTTTGAAAATGGTAGGGACTTCACTTTTTGATTTCATAAGATATAGAAAACTTGTTCGAGAGAAATCATCAACAAATAGAACAAAATATTTAAAACCTTCCATTGATTCAGTTGCAGGTCCCCATACATCGGTGTGTACCATTTCAAAAGGTTTACTTGTCCTAGACATTGAATTACCAAAAGGTAGCCTAGTAAACTTAGAAAATTGACAAGTATCACAAGTAGGATAGGGGTTACAAAAATTTGGAAACAGTTTCGACAAGACAAGTTCAGAGGGGTGAGCTAATCTCCTATGCCAAAGTTGGTTTTCATCTATGGACTTCGATTGAGCTTGAAGAGCCTGAGTGAAACATGCATTCTTGCACAGGTAGTAAAGTCCATTTATGAAGACCCCTTCACCAATCATCTTCATGGTGAGAACATCCTGAAACATTACTTTATTTGGTGAGAAAATAGCACGGCAGTTTAGGGGTGTTGGTGATCTTTCCAATTGACAAAAGTTGGAAGGGAAAGGTTGGTACATAGAGGGCAGTGGAAGGTGTTTTTTGAGAGAGTAAGTTTATTTCTCCTTTTCCCAAAACTAAGACATTTTTTCCATTTGCAATAGACACATGTGAGGGGCTTGAAATTTTTTTAAAATGATGTAAATTTGTAACTTTGTTTGTCATATGATCTGTGGCGCCTGAATCAATTATCCAACAATCAATTTCAGTACTAGTTAATAGGGCAGTAGTAAAGGCTTTGAGTATACCTGATGCTTCTCCCTTTGGAACTTTCTCATTTCCAGCAAGAAATCCGGCAAATTGTCCCAACATAGCTGTGTGTGTGACTACCCTCTTCATTGCCTTGACCATATGAGCCTCCTCCGTGCCCCTTACTTTGTAGGTAAGCTGCAAATTCATTGATTAATGACAATGGATTGGCAGTGAACTCCATGGATCCTTGTGAGATAGTAGGAGCGTGAGCATTAGCAAGTTGTGCCTTGAAATGAGGTTTGAAATTGTTGTGAGGACCTTGGTATCATCCTTCCATCTTTGCTGAACTTAGGCTTGAGTTCAGGATGAAGTTCCCAACACTTGTCTTCCTCATGACCAACACCATTGCAATATTTGCATTTTAGATGTGTGTTTCTTCCCTTGTATACCTTGGCTTATGAGTTCTTGTACTTTGATGCATATGCCCGAGTCTCCGTTAATCTAGGATTGTGATCAACATTCATAACCTTCTTCCTTACTTCTTCTCGTTGGATAGTTGCACAAACATTGTT